GGGTGCGTTTTTTTAGCATTTTTTTAGGGTTAGGATTAGGGTTTAGAAGCAGATTTTATAATAAACAAGTATAAGTGAGTTTTAGGGGCTCAAATAGAAACCCCTCATTTCATTTTAATCCGATTTCATTATGATCTGCGATAATCAAAAGTTTAAAAAAAGGTCACACATACCGGTATAACTTGTTAATTACCAATTCTAACCCTAAACACTAACTCAGCTATAAAAAGCGGGGGAAAAAACACCCCCCAAAAAAAATAGATCCGAATTTCATCATCAGCATCAGCTGCGACCATATATTATACGCCAATAAGGGCACGCCGTACTAGTCGACTAGAATATTTCGAGATTTTTGACGTCAAAAATTTTTTATCGAAAATGTTCGATTATCTCAGATTACATTCTTCGACTATCGTGTTATAAACAAAATGTATAATAACGATACACTAGAATCGCAGGTAATTCCAGTAGAAGAAACACATAGCTCTTTAGATCAACTACCTAAAAAACGCAAAAGAACAGCCAAAAAGGAACAAAAGGAAAAGCGTAAAAAAGATAAAATTGTACTAAACAATCAACGATCTCTACAAGAAGTTCAAAGTGAACCCTTTTTACGACAAATGATTCCCGTTTTATCTTCAACTGCCGAGGAAACCAGTCAAAACCGAATAAAAATTATGACCTATAATGTACATGTATTTCTATCTTTTCTTAAAGATCACTTTTCATATGCTCATTTAACATTTTAATTATTATAGCTTCTTGCTCAATCACTCATCCGCAGGGAAATTTTTCCTGAATCTGGTGATGCACTTAAGTGGAAAAACCGTCGTCCTCGTTTGCTAAAAGAGATATTGTATTATGATCCCGATGTCTCTTGTTTTCAAGAAATGGATCGTTCTAATTATTTAGATACTTTTAAACCTGAATTCGAACTTGCTGGATATGAAACATGTTTCGCTGGAGTAAAAAAACATGGTATGAACTATATTAATAATATTATCTTATTGTTTATGTAAATAAATGACTTTTATTTTTTGTTTTAGGTTGTTGTATAATTTGGAAGCGATCTAAATTTACAAAATTAAGTGATCTTACTATCGAATTTGACAGGGTTGGAGTACCTACGATGACAACAAACTGTATTGGCCTTATTATTTCCCTCAAATACAGTGAGACTCTCCCTGATGATAAAAACCCCTCAAATTCAGGACTAGTTATAGGGACAACTCATCTCTACTGGAGACCTCAATGCATGTATGAACGTACAAGACAATGTTTAATCCTTTGCGAAAATTTGGTCAAGTTTAAAAAGGAATTTGGTTTTGAAGTAATACTGGCTGGTGGTAAGTGCATATTTTTTTGTTGGATTAAAGTTATGCATCCTTGTGTCTCAAAATTTAATATTTTCTTAATATCGTTAGATTTTAATTCATCGCCAACAGATCCTACTTATAAACTAATGGTAAGGAACACATCGTTGACTGCGGATGAAATCTCGGCATTGGAAACTTCAATGAGACCTTTTGGAGAGAATGCAACCTCCAACGATTCTCCTTCAACAGAAGATATATTTGGAAATAGTCTTGACAACAGTGCTGACTCAATTATAAGTGATGGTACAGGTTTGTTAGCAAATTCTTCATCTACTTTATCTGCTGTACCAATCACACAGCAAACATTATCATCAACGAGTGTCGGCCAATCTATACAAACTGAATTGGCATCTCAATTTCAACCAACACTTCCCGACCTACTTTCAAATTTTGCAAACCTTCCATCTTGTGTATCATTGTATGCACAACATCTGAATTCAATAGATCCTGAAAATACTATTTATTCTGAACCAAAATTTACACATTATGGATTATATTTCAAAGGAACTTTAGATTATATTTTTCTTTTTTGTCAAAATTATAACAATCAAAATAACGAAGATTGTGATGAAAATATTAAATCCAAGGTTAAAGTTACTAAATTATTAAAAATGCCACAAGAAGAACATTTATTACCACTTTTACCTAATTATAAATTTAATTCGGATCATTTATGTTTAATGGTTGAAGTAGTTGGACTGGTTTAATAAATATTAGATTAGCATTTAATGAATTATTAATTTTTCGATTATAACCGGTGCGGATCAATAGTAAAATTTGGAATTTACTTTTTACTACGTATGAATCTGTTTCTGATTTACTTTTTTATAAATTTAAAAGTAGGTATATAAATAAAAATTTTTGATAATATTTATTAAAAATAAGAATATACAGTGGCTCTTTATATAACGGACCACCGATATAACGGTTAGTACAATTATAATGGAAAAATTATTTCGATATATCGGAGATTATTAGTAATCTCACATAAGAATTTGTAAATTATGCGTGCGGTATATATGAAATATTCGATTTGCTGATGATTAAAAATTAAAAGTGCGATTTAATGTTTACTAGCAATTTTATCTCGTAAAAAAAAACTTCAATCTTTTAAATACTGCGCTCAACTAAACAAAAACTTCTGTTTCTAATTATTTATTGTTTAATAAAAATTTGGTAAATATTGCGTTTAACTAAACAAAAATTTATGTTTCTGATTCATTTATTGTTTTAATAAAAATTTGTAAGCGTATCAGAGTAATTAACCTAAAAATTATTTATAGTTAACGATATTACCTTAATTGTTATTTTTAAATCAAGTACTCGTTGTTCTTTGAACTATTAAAAATAGCAAAATTCTCTTTCTAATTTTGAAGACGAATTTATTTATGATGTTTTAACATACTATATGTATAAATTAATATACTATATACTAGAATATCATAGTTTATTATACATTTTAAAATATTACGATACTAAAAATTTAAAATGAGTGCACATAATACTACGTATATAACGTAATACGTATAAGTGAAGCAAAATTATGCGATTTAGTGTGATTTTCGGTTAATCACACTAAATCACAATTTCCGTGTCTCCGTTATGACATACATTGTTATGACACTTTTGACATGACGACATGTCAATTGGACATAAAATGCTGATATTTAATACTACAAATAATTATTACGTAGAATTATGTTATTAAATATATAGTCAGATTGTGGCTGCGAGAAAATCAATGTGCTACGTATGAGTTTTTAATTTTTATAACATATCGATATGGCGAACCAACAGTCAAGACTTGATACATGACAGATTCTGCAATATAAAATACTATACATATTAGCAATTCTGTAATCTTAATAATAGAAAAAAAACAATAATAATTGAACAATATCTCGTATTTAGGTTCTATATGAAGAATAAAATAAACATGACAAACTGTTTAAAGACCAGAAACTTAATAACCTTTTAAAAACCACAGGATAACAGAAAATTTAATTTTAAAGTATACATATCTAATTTTAAGATTCGAATATCGATTTTATTGAGTTACCTTCTACTCATTTAGCTCTACTCATTTCGACAAAAACATCTGAAACTAACGCTAACAATTTATGATCGGTAATTTTGTGATAAAATCGAATCATCTATAGGACAAATTCGCAATAATCACAAATTTGGGCAAAATAACTAAATTAATCGGCCAATTGATCACCTGATATTGCGAACTGGGCAATCTTCACTACGAGTATGGAGAGCCTGGCACCAGCCGGATTCGAACCTGTACCTAGTGCAATGTACGG